CACTCAACTTTAATTAGCTATTGCAAATGAACGTTCCTGCTAGTAGCTGCCTGGTGCCAGCTCTCCACTTGTGCTAGTCTTGTCTCCTGGGCCACCACAGACATGGATACAGCTGCCCCTGGGGGTCAGCAACCACAGTGTGCACAGGCAGAGAAAGCACAGGCCTCCCTGCTCAGAAACAAGTATTTCCAGACTCTGCTCCTCCACTTTCAGGAGATGCTCTTGCACTGAGGTGAGCTGATCTCAGACCATCCCACTGCTGATCCTGGAGGTGAAGTTAAAATCCCTGTGCCATGCAGAGGGAAATGAGGCTTCCCAAAGCCCAGAGCAATGTACTGGGGAAATACCACATCCCTACCCACTGTCCCTGCTGGCTGCCTTACCATCCCTGTGGACCTGCTTCATGCAGTAGAGTAAGTCACTGGTTGGGAAAGCAGGTGGCTGTGTGCACATTTGGCTATATTGTTTCATAATTATTAGCAGAGAGACTGAAAATGTAATTATGATAATTAAGCTAAATCGCAGTATTCCTACAGGAGCTACCAAATTATTTATATCAACTTTTCATCCTATTCCCTTAACCGTTGCTTGCCCAGAGGAGGAGGAGGCTGCACCGTGTGCTGGCACTGCCCGTCCTCTCGGGTCCCTCCTGAAACAGCAGCGAGAGGCAGCTCCTCATCAGCTTGAAACTGGGGTGGGAAAGGAGCTGTGAGACAGCGGCCCGAGGGCAGGAGTGTTCCGGGGTCCAGGAGCCACAGCAAGAGGAGGGAGCTGGAGGGGAGGGAGTGTGCAGGGCTGGGCAAGGCTGCCTGGAAAGGGCAGAGCGATGCTGGGCAGATGCTCAGCAGGAGGTGGCTGCCAGGGCTGGATTTGGTCGCTGCATCTCCTGTCCCTGGGGATCGAGGCCGTACCTGCCACCCTGATTTTTGGAGCCAGAGTGAGCACAGAGCTCAGGGTGGCAGGACTCGAGGGCCGTGCCCAGGCCAGCCCACTGCTGAGCCCAGCTCTGCACACAGGGTGGATGAGCTGAGTCCCCAGCAGCAGCCTGACGCTCTGCCAGCTCCCTCCAGGAACACTGTCAGCTCCAATTACTGTCTCACTTGAGCTTGCTCCTGCACCCGAGCAGCCTCTGCAACTTCACGGTGCCACAGGAACCGCAACGAATCCTGTCCCATAGCCTTTTCCTTGCATCCCCTGGGATCTGCAGAGCACCCTGGCTGGAGCAGCAGGGATTTCCAGATCTGGACATGGCTGAGCATGTCACCCCTCTGTGCTGGCTGGCAGCAGGTCCAGCTGCAGGAGACAGAGCTGGCCAGCAACCCCCCATTTTGGAGCCGGCACTGCCCGTCCTCTCGGGTCCCTCCTGAAACAGCAGCGAGAGGCAGCTCCTCATCAGCTTGAAACTGGGGTGGGAAAGGAGCTGTGAGACAGCGGCCCGAGGGCAGGAGTGTTCCGGGGTCCAGGAGCCACAGCAAGAGGAGGGAGCTGGAGGGAAGGGAGTGTGCAGGGCTGGGCAAGGCTGCCTGGAAAGGGCAGAGCGATGCTGGGCAGATGCTCAGCAGGAGGTGGCTGCCAGGGCTGGATTTGGTCGCTGCATCTCCTGTCCCTGGGGATCGAGGCCGTACCTGCCACCCTGATTTTTGGAGCCAGAGTGAGCACAGAGCTCAGGGTGGCAGGACTCGAGGGCTGTGCCCAGGCCAGCCCACTGCTGAGCCCAGCTCTGCACACAGGGTGGATGAGCTGAGTCCCCAGCAGCAGCCTGACGCTCTGCCAGCTCCCTCCAGGAACACTGTCAGCTCCAATTACTGTCTCACTTGAGCTTGCTCCTGCACCCGAGCAGCCTCTGCAACTTCACGGTGCCACAGGAACCGCAACGAATCCTGTCCCATAGCCTTTTCCTTGCATCCCCTGGGATCTGCAGAGCACCCTGGCTGGAGCAGCAGGGATTTCCAGATCTGGACATGGCTGAGCATGTCACCCCTCTGTGCTGGCTGGCAGCAGGTCCAGCTGCAGGAGACAGAGCTGGCCAGCAACCCCCCATTTTGGAGCAGGACAGCATGGAAGGAGCACAGTCGTTTGCTGAGGCCAGTTCTCCAGGGGAGAGCTCGCATCCTTCCCACAGACCTGAGGACACATTTGGGTCATAGGAACAGCTGATGTGTACCATGACATGCCACTACCAGGTCAGGGCACTTGGGATGGAGCTGCAGGGCACTTGCATGAAAGCCCAGATGCCTGCAGCAATCAGCCCCTGCCCCTTGGCAGTCCTGGGCTATCCCATCCCAGACTTTGCCCAGCTCCTGCCACCAACTGGGCTTGGTTTAAACCTGCAGATGGGAGCTGAGCTTTAGCTTACCTATGCTGAGCATTCAGAACATCTCCCAGCTTGGGAGAAAGTGTTTTGCAACCTTTCTCCCACCTCTACCTATTGACAGTGGCATGGACCACAGTGACCTGGCAGGTGCTGTGCAGCAGCAGCCTGGAGCTCAGCTCCTCGCAGAGCCACCACATCATTCTAAGGGCAGGATTGGGCCCATGTCCTTCATTATATAACTGTCTCTCTGAGTGTTTTCCTAGCACTCAGCACTCCCACCAGGCAGAGGCCCCACTGGCAAGGGGGAATGTCATGTTTTTCTGAACACATAGCTTTGATTTCATAGCAGTAGCCAATTCCACACACACAAACTCCCAAGCTCTTGCACCTTGCAGGGCATCAACCAAGATGGGATGGGTGATGGAGCTGCAGGAAGAAGCAGAACTCCAGAGGCCGGGTCAGGTTGATTCATCCACAGGGCTCAGGAGCCCTGCAGATGACTAATCTGACCTGGCCTCTGGGACCCCATGCTGTCCCTGCCCTGCCCTGCCCTGGCTGCCTGCCCTCACATTCCTGTCCCCCACAGATCATCTCACTCCAACTGCTGGGGAAAACAGCCCCTGCTGCTACCAGCATCTGGGGTGAGGAGGGGGAGCTGCCTCCATGGCACGTGAGCTCTGCAGGAGCCAGGGCTGCTGCTGGCCTTGGAAATGCAGGGGTTTTTTTTTCCTCCCAGCTGCAGGAGAAGCGTGAGGTGAAGCACAGCTGGCCAGTGCTGTGCACAGCTTGCAGCACTGCAGGTTCTTCCCAGCACCAGTGGGACCCCGGCCACCCTCACCCAGGAAAACCAGGGGATGTTGTGGTGCTGTCACACTCCCTGGGATGGTTTGAAGGTAGGAGACCTGCCTTGTGCTTCCTCTGCAGGTTGAAATTTGGGGGGTTTGCCCACTAAGTAATGAGGGCTTAAGTATGATGGCCAAGAATTGGGCAATGGGAGAGTCGTGGTGTCTTGGGGATGACTAACAGCAGTGGGACAGGTCAGCTGCTCTTCTCCAACACACGGCTGAGGAGGAAATCCTGACGCCTTCCTGCTTCCCCATAAGAGTCACAGTGTGTGTGCTGAAGGTGACTTGGAACTGCCCCAGGGGCTGGAGTTGTACTTGCTACTGAATATTACCCCAAAAACCCAAGAGGTTTTCACCTCCTGGGAATCCAAAGCAGCCCCTCAGCCAGCAGTTCTCACAGCATCACTTCTGGCCAGGCAAACTGGATGTCTCCTGTGCAGGGCATGTCACCAAACTGAACTGCAAGTAATTTGGGATCTAAATGAGTTCTGCAGTCTGGGCCAAAAGTCATTTCATGACCTGGCTCACTTCACTTGACCACTGGCTATTTTTTCTAGTTCTAAATTATATTTTTTCCTGTTATGTATGAAGAAGATCTAAGGATAAGAGAAGGGCAGAGAAAAACAAGAAGCTGCACGTGGGATCATGCAAACACTTCCACATTTGTCTGGCCTCCTCAGCCTCCTTACCTATGTGCAGAAACAAGTCTGTAGTACACCAGCAAATACATAAAGTCAACAAATGGTAATAGCAACAAGTGCTCTTTTTCCCTTAATCTCTTTGCATTCAGGGTTTCATTATGGTTGACTAGAACAACCACATGCTCTGATTAGCTGGAACATGCTCTGGAAATCTCAGGCACCTAGTGGAATACCCAAGCTGACTTGCCAGAGCATTGGCCTCATGTGCCAGATTCTCACCAGCAGTTGAAGCCTTTGGAGCAGGATCATTGTCTTTCCCACTGTTGTATCATTTGTTATTGGTATTTTCTGGCCAATTCACCTTCTGTTGCCTGTTGGGCTGGCACTGTGTGGAGCTCAGTGTTCAACCTTGCTGTGCTGGAAAACTCCAAGGGCTGCTGGAGCCCAGCTGCTGTGCTGGTGAGCAGGGTAGGGATTTACACCAGTGACAGGATAGCAATGCCTAGCTTGTAATTCTACAGACATCTGAAAGCCTCTGCTCCCACATTTGACTTCTCCCAAACCCAATCCAACCTCACCATGAGAGCATTCAGGCTGCCTTTGCTCTCCCTTTGTGAGCCCATCCCCAGGAAAGCAGCAGTTGGACAGGGCTGCTGGCTGGTGGGGAGCAGCATTTGGAGGCTGCCCTTGTGCCTCGGCTGTGTCAGGGGCTGATCCACCATCCCGAGCTGTGGAGCTGAGTTAGCATTTATGGATGCAGCCTGGTGGATGGGGGAATGCAGGTCTGTGTTGACAGCCAGAGCAGGGGCTGTGCCATACTCTGTGGGACACTATGCCTGGTCTGTCTGGGGCAGCCTGGCACTGGAGCTGACATCAGCCCCGGTGCTGAACAGACACCACACAACAGTTTGTCCTCAACCAATGGGAGCAACACCTGGGACAGGAACAGCCTCACAGAAGTCAGCAGAGGCTGCCTGTCCCATAGAGGCCTTTCCCAGAGCCCTGCTCATCTCCTGGGCTGCCTCTCCATCAGCCAGCATCAGGCTTTTCAGCCTTGCCAGAAGTTGTTTCAAAGGAAAACCATTAGGAGCTCAGCCCTGAATGTATTACAGAGAGGGTCTCGCTCTCTCCTCCCCTCCTCATCCTAGGGATATTCTTCTTCAAACCTGCTCTGCAGAAAATACAAAGACCTTTTTCTCCTCACATGCACTTGCTCTCATTTGTGGGCCCATGCATGCGGCTACAGGGAGGACACAGCAGTTAGGCACACGTGAATAACCTCACAATAGCATACCTGGATTTTATTTTATTTTCAATAGTTCTAGAACCAACATATCCCAGGCACAAAGGGATTTGGACCCTACATTTACAACGAATTATCTGTACCAGCCTCTAAGGAAACTGCACAGTAGCCCTGCTAATGGCTTCAAGAGGAAATGCTTCAGGCTCTGGTGGCTGCTGCTGCTCAGGGAATTCTGCTTTCAGCTGCAGCATGCAATAAAAACCTTCCCTTACTGTTGCAGATGTGATGGCTCTCCTGGAGAGAGGAAAGACATTGACTGAGCTAATACCATTAACCACCTCAAAGCACACACAGAGGTTGTAAAGCAACAACCACCTGGTCATTCACTGACAGGGGTTAGATCAAACCAGCCTGTGCATTCTCCAGCGTGCCCTGCCAGCTCTTGGGACTGTATCCCTGCCCTGCTCCCAGTGCTGCCTGCTCCCCCCACCCCAGGAGAAAACAGGCAGGGACAAAGGCCTGGGCATAGACCTAATGCACTTGTGATCTCCACCAAAGTTGATCTCCACTCGCAGTCCCCACCCCCGGGACAGCACTGCAGGATAAGCTCTTCCCCCTCATTGTCTGCACCTTCCCTCCTTGGGAAAGGCAAGAGCAGCTTTGCCTGAGAAAAAGCAGTAAGGTATTTTTTCTTTTGCCAGGTGTAGCTCAGCAGTGCTAGCCTGAGCATGATCTGTGCTTCTATCCAGCTGTGGCCACTGTCACCTGCATCTCGCTGCCTAGTGTGGGCTGAGTGTGACCTGGGCAAGGAGGTGCCCACTCTGTGGGAAGCTCCCCTCTCTCACCATTGCCCCTTCCTGTGCAAACCAGCCCAGCATGGCTGGTTTTCAGACTGATACATGCTGAGGCAATAGTAATAGCTCCTCACCAGTGCAGTGGCAGATTTTGCAATCTGTTTTAATGAGGTATTTACAAGTTCAGAGGCTGGCTCCTTGCACAAGGAGTGTGGCCGGGCCCCGGCAGCTGGTTGGGCTTTTCATCAACATTCCTCCAACTCGCCCAATTGCAGCACAGGCACAGTGGAAAACATTTAGACATCAGAAATGCCAGATTAATTATCTCTTTAATTGATACCTCCACTTGGGGACAAATGAAACCGGAACATCCCTACTGCCCTGGGAACCTGCCACTTACAAACAGATTTACAGCTAAAAATACAGTGGCAGTCCCGTGGCTAATCAACTTCACTGCTTACCCTGGGTGAGGTTATGAAATTGTTTCAGGCTGGGGCTGAGTGCCGAGGGACCAGCTGCATCAGTGCCCAACTGCAGACCTGGTGATGCTGTGCTGTGCATGCTGCTGGGCAATGGGCAGCAAGACCCACACACGAGCCCTACCTGTGAGCCCCACCACAGCCCTGGAGATGTGTGGGTAGGTTCTTGAGCCTGTGATGCAGTCAGAGAGCCCCAACACCAGGCTTCTTGTATGTTCCTGACCCTGTCATTACAGGTTGCAGAGAAAAATCTTATCCCTGTGTCTTGTAACAGACCTGAAGTGCTCGGTG